AAAAAAAAGAAAGGTCTTGGATTTAAGCTTTGCTCATCTAAGACAAGACAGACACAGAGAAATTACAAAGGTGATCAGGAGTAGTCAGCAGGAGTTCACTAAAGGCAAATTATCCTTGATCAACCTTACTGACTTCTACAATGAAACAACTACCTCGAGGTGGGTGAGGGGAGAGCAATGAATATTGTCTACCTCAACTTCAGCAAGGCTTTCAACACTCTCTCTTCACAATAACCTCAAAGGCAAACTCAGGAAGTATGGACTGGGTGAGTGGACAACAATGTGGATTAAGAACTGGCTGAATGGCAGATCCCAGAGTGTCATAATCAGTGGCATAGGGTCTAGTTGGAGGCCTGTCATTAGTGGTGTCCCCCAAAGTTCAGTACTGGGCCCAGTGTCGTTTAACTTATTCAAAATGTCTTGGACAAAGGTACAACAAGTTCACTGATGACACAAAGCTGGGAGGAGCAGCTGATACCCCAGAGGGCTGTGCAGCCCTTCAGCAGAACCTTGACAGGTTGGAGAGTTGGGCAGAGAATAACCATCTGAAGTTCAACAAAGGCAAGTTCAGAGTCCTGCACCTGAGGAATAATAATTCCCCCACTACAGGTTGGAGGCTGCTCTGCTGTGAAATAGCTCTGTGAAGAAGCACCTGGGGGTCCTCGTGGATAACAAGCAGTCCATGAACAATCAGTGTGCCTTAGTGGTCAGTGGGATCCTGCGATGCATTAGGACGAGCATTGCCAGCAAAATTGAGGGAGGCAATGCTGCCCCTCTACTCAGCCCTGGTGAGGCCATGTCTGGAGTCCTGTGTCCAGTTCTGGGCTCCTCAGTACAAGGGAGACATGGGGCTCCTGGAGAAAGTCTAGCAGAGGGCTATGAAGATGATGGCAAACTGGAGCTTCTCTCTTATGAGGTAAGGCTGAGGGAGCTGGGCCTGTCCAGCCTTAAGAAGAGATGGCTGAGAGACAACCTCACCAATGTCTGAAGGGAGGGTGTCAAAAGGATGGAGACAGGCTCTTTTTGTCCATATCCATTTTGTGATTCTGTGACTGTGATTCCCCCTCAACCTCACACACCCAGGGTGAGGACCAAACTTCCCTGACCTATCCAGCACCTGCTGAAGGAGGAGGTCTAATGTCCCTGTGTCATTACAGAATTCTGGTTTGTTTTAGTGTTTTTCACTTTTCCCAACCTCAACGGAAAAAAAAGAAATTAATTCTGTTTGTGTTTATGTACTTTTTCCTAGCTGTTGTACTTATGCACTGTAATAATCCTCCAAGCAGTGAATTGCATGTGGGACAAGTTCACACAAAACCTACATGAATGCACAGCTCCCAAAGCAGGACATCCGAGTCAGGCCACAGGAATTAGTGCTCAACTTGACCTCCTAGGGACACCTGTAGGTGTGAAAATCAGAGTCTGCACCTCACTTTCTGCTCCCTTTGCATTCCATTTTGGCCTTGTTGTTCTCAGCCCATCAGATTGAGAAGGGGTATCAGGAATAGTAACAGTTCCTGAGAGCCCAGCTCAGCAACTCTGGGAAAATCACAGTGCTGACTAATGCTGGGGAGCTGCTCCGGGTAAAATCTGAGCACAGTCTCCCAAGGCACCCAGAGAAATCAGTGTGTCTACAATGCACAGTCCTGGATAGATCCTTCTTTTAGCCATAGCATAGACAGAAGGATCAGATAAAGTGCCCCTCACTCTCCTCCACACCCAAGAGGCAATGAATGGATGGTGATATGTCCCAAATGTCTGCAGCATGTTTGGAGTAACCTGCAGCAGAACCTGATTTCCCACAGCAGGAGTGGTGAACCAGCTTCCAGGCTATGACTCTGGGAGGTCAATGCAGCAATACATACAGCTCAGCACAGGTGGGCCAGCCCAAAATGTGCCCACACATGTTTAAGCAGTAATGGAGAGAGGGTCAGCAGGTGTCTTTCTGCATCAGCGTCTCAAATCTAATGCCCTTGAGCAGTGTGGACTTGCATTTGCCCTCCTAGTGAGAGTCAATATTTCAAGTCTCTCTCCTGTGCAGCACTGTAACACAGTTAAAGATGTCACCCAACCAGAAAGATGATGCTGCCTCAAGGCATATGAGAATTTGCTGCCCTGGATTGAACAAGCAGCCAACTGTTCCCTACGAAAAAGGAGACAATCAGACCCAGGAATATTCTATCAAAGGCTGCAAAAGGCTGCAAAATCTTTCTGGGGACACTTGCAGGAACAGATGAAGGTGAAGTGGGCTGACTTCCCACCTGCAGGCTGCAGGGCTTGGACTTGCAGAGGAAGGTGGGTGCTGCAGCCTGCAAGGAAAGAAGATGGGAATGGAGAGAGGACAGATGAGGAGAGAGGGCTGACCTTAATAGAAGGACTCTGCTGTCTGCCCAAGTGGATACTCAAAGCAAGGAAGACAAGATCTGGCCCTGTGCACATAAAGGGCTCTGCAATTGCAGCTGAAGTGGGGAAAATGTAATACCACACCTATTTCAGGACAGGCTCTCAGCAGCTGGATTTGGATCAGAGGCAAATTTCCCCAGAAAAAGGGGAAACTCCTGTCTTCCCTACAGTGAGGGGAAGTCTGAGCTTCTCTTCAAGGGAGAGACCATGTTTGCATACAATGCTCATACAGTTTTTAGGGGTCTTGCTCCACCCAGAAGCTCACATTCACTGCAGCATGACGGGAACCAGACTGAGATAAAAACCGAGCCACATTTCTTTTCCACCAGCCCAGCAACCTCCCAGAACCTTTCCCATGGCATGATTTCAAGTACAGCTTGTTTTTTATGTCCTCTCCCTAGGATCAGCTGACATGTTTATAGATACTCACATGGCTGAGAGACTTAAAATAATTGCCACAAGGTCAATAAACTGGTGCAATGTAACCTAAACCAAAAGCAGTGTTCTTCAGGAGTGAAGACAAAAGGAGATCTTCCAATTCAACTTGCATCTTTCCCCCATCTGTATAAATCATTGTCACTTCCAAAAGCAATTATGTTAGAGAGATCTGATTAATTAGCTAGAGCTTTTGATGGGGAAGGGTGTGTGGATGTGTGTGTAACATGCTGGCCTTTTTTTTCTCTTTACTTACGCTGAAGAAGAAGAAATCTATCTGAGACACCACTCTTAGCTCAGGCAGGGGAGACAGTACTTGTATGACCTCTAAGTCTGAGACAGGATAGTCCCTTAGGGAACACACAACATCCCAGGGACAGCCACTGCAGTATCAGGTGTGTTGCTTCCCTGAAATACAGCTGGCTTGAGCACGCAGCCGGGGTGCAGGTCAGGAGACAAGGGTACCCTATGTCCTAAAGACCCACCTGCCTGCCCTTCTGTCTCTCTATGCATTTGCTGAAGTGCAAAGAGTGAAATAAAAACTTCAGGCTAGGTAATATGGTGCTGCTTTTCTCTGACCACTCAATAGGATAAAACAGGATGGCAGGCACAGTGGGCAGCAGACTGGAATAGCCACTCAGCTCAGTAGCCCCACACGGAGAAAGGGAAGGTCTGATGTGGTCCAACTTGCCTGTTTCAGCCACACGTTGGTTGTCATCAGCTGATTCTTCTCATCCTAGGGTGACACAAGGTAGAGAGGATTGCAATACCAAAATGAGCAGAAACAGACCCTATGCCTGCTGAATCCAACCCTGCACCAAGACAAAGAGATCCCCGTGGTCCTGCTTGCCCATGGGTCTGGGCTCTTCAGTCACTGCTGGGGGAAATGAGCTGACTTTCTAGGAGCTGACCCTGATCTTGCTGAGAGCTCCAGAGGCTGGAAAACTGAGGTCTGGTATTTCATAAAAGCTAGAAGGAATCACATGCCAAAGAGCAGGAAGGCAGCAGGGTTCAGGCAGCAAGTGGTGTCAGGTCACACATGGCTGTGGGCTCACAACCCCACACTGCTTAGCCTGGAGTCAGTTTAGGAAGATACAAGCTGAAACATTGTCCTGAATACGTAAATAAAGCAAAAAACTAGTCTGCCTTCTCCAGCACAAGGGGTGCTGCCAGAAGCCCAGGGGATGTAAGGAGCACACTATTGTGTGGGTACATCTGGGCCTTGTGCACATTTCCCTGTGCATTGCAGTGGAAAGAGACGAGAAAATTTCTACATGGGCAAAAATATGGGGTTTTCTGTTTTGCCTCTAGTGTCTTACATGGGAGACCAGCTGGACTAAGACATGAACTGCTTTTGGCCTGGATACAAGCCTGCTGAGAGCGAATAATGTCCAACTAGCCCTACCCTTTCTCACCTCTCTCCTGTAGCTGTCTGGTCATTAAAGTGCAAATATTAAATTGCCAGAGACTGCCTGGCATGGGTTGTTTCATTACAGCCTGATGGAATGAGGCCTTATTCCCTGAGAACAGCAGGGAGAAAAGACCCTTGGGGTTCCTTCAGAACAAATGTGTCCTATAGCCCATGCTGTGTGTGGGGCAGAAGGTCATTTCACCAACACTGTATTACACTCAGCATTTCCCTGCCCAACCATCGCTGTTCATTTCATGTGTCAAGAGGCAAAACCCAACGACATCACCAGCCCTCTCAGGTGGATGTACAACTGCCTATTAAAAAAAGGGTTGTTTTACGAAGATAACACTTACCACATCCACAAGCTGTGATATCTTTAATCCAAAAAGGACTTTGATGGTGTCGTTGGAGTTTTCCACGGGGCGGACCCATTTCTGATAGCCTTGAAATAAGTGCTTGAGGAGTGCATCCTCATTTTCAGCGACTGAACTGAAGGCAGCCACATCTGGAAGAGAGAAACACAGAAGGGGGCATGCCAGAAAGCAGACATGGAAAATACCATAACCCAAAGAAGTGAGGAAGAGTGATGATGTGAGACAAATTTGCCTCTGGGCAGCTCTTGTCTTGTACAGTAAAATCTGTAGGAATTCTGATGCACAGACTCTCAGCAGAACCAGGGCAGGGAGACAGAAAGGCAAGATAGCCCAAACCTACCTCATGTACAAAAAAATCATCAGACCACAGCAGTGATGACTTTGTAGCAAGTTTATATTTTCTGTGGCCTTTTTGTCTTGAGACAATGCACTTGCCCAGTCTTTCTGATTTATTACTCTTTAGAAGACCTACAAAGGCAGAGCATCAGGTTCTCTCTTTCACTTCTGAGTAGAAAATATCCAGCCTGATAAATATGCCTTTGAGAAAGAGTTCTGATTTTTCAGATCCTGTGTTGTACCACAGAGAGCTGAGAACACAGGGGAGATCCGATCACTGTGGGACAAATCCTGTCTAGCTAGCTGACTTGCAAGTAGAAACAGCAGCAATACACTGTGGGCAGTTCAGGGCTCAGGGATTTCACTTGCACTTGGCCAGTTTCTGTGGACTCTCTGAGGTGGAGGCTGCCCTACGCAAGGGCCGAGGTAGTGGGATTTCCACTGGAAGCTACAGGGTGTGTAAAACAGACCTGCGGGGGCCTCATGCAGGACTTGGAAATGAATCTTCCTTCTGCAAATCGTTCAGGAAGCTGAATTCTCCCAGTTGACAGGTGGGGTGGGTTGGTGACAGCAAAAAGCAAAAGGAGCTCCTCTGGCAGCAGCAGGAGCCAAATGATGCAGCCAGGGCCAGGTCTGCCCACAGGCAAGCACAGAGCCATCGTGGTCTGCACATGCAAGACTTGGGACTCCCATGATCACTAACAGCATGCTCCCCCCTCCACTGGCTACCATAAAGACCCTCCATCCTTTCCCAAGTTTCAGCCCCACAGCCTGTGACGTCGAGGTCCTGACACAACCTCCACCTCTTCGCTTGTGCATGCACACAGCACCCAAGGATAATAAGAGTTTCACTTCTCTTCAAAGACACTATGGAGGAAAAAGGAGCTTGTGCTGATTGACTCTGTGCCATGGGAGTCACAGCCAATACTGCTGTGTCCCAGCAGCCCCAGTGTGAGCAGGGCACCTGTGCCTGGATTGCCAGCCATCAGGGGCAGTGGGGTCTGCAGGCAGAGTCACGGCCGAGGAATGGTGTAAGGACTGGACGCTGGGAGAGCCCTGGAAGGAGGGCACACACACACTTGTGCAGCAAACATCAGAGTTAAGGCAGCTCTCAGCAGGGTCCCTGTGCCACGGGTAGAGAGGAAAGGGCATCAGAGCCCAGCAGTCCCTCCAGAGAGAAAACTGGAGGCAGAGGTTAGTGTTCTGCGACCTACACAGAGGAAGGCACGGGACCACAGACCACTGTCTCTGTCCATGTCTTCTTCTCCAGTAGCTGCTGCCCATCTCCTGGGCAAGACAGGCTGCGCAGCCTCCTCTACCTTAGTGAGGTCTATCTGAGGCTGTGGGCAGCAAGCAGCACATCTGAAGGACTGCCTAAAGAAAAAGCTTGCTCTCATGCCAGAGCTTTCTATGGGACAAAATAATTCCCTAATGCAGTCTGGATTGTCTCTGGGTAGCACAAGGTCCAACAACACTGTCATCCCCCACTTCTAGCCACAGCAAATGACAGTTCCTCTTTAAGGAACTATAAACTCTGAAACCTAATGATTGCCACTCACAGGATAACAACTAAGTTTCCTGTCAGATGTTCTAGCACAAGCTATGTTTGTCCTCTCTGGTTGGAGTGCAGTCATGGTAGGGTTACCACGCTCTGGGTGGGTAGAGGCCAGCTGCTCAGAGGGAGCTTTCACACTCCTTTCCACCTGCTCTGCCCCAAAGCCAGGGATGTCTCATGCAGTTAACAATACAGTTTATAGCAGCTTCTACGGCTTGCCTCTGTCTTGCCACTTTGTCACAAGACTTTGAGGTCTGCTGTTTCCAACTGGGAGCCACAAGTGTCCCTTCTGCTTGTTCCAGTGTTTATTCTTATGCCATGGCTGACCCTAGCTCCATCACAGCAAATGAAGGACAGCCTGGCATCCGTCCTGGGAAACTAGGTTGGCTGCCCAAGCATGTCAGACAGGTATTGCATCCGTAACCAAAGGAAGAGAAAGAACACATTTCACCCCCCTCACTGCCCACAACCTCCATGGTCCAATCCTCTGACGCCTGAGAGTCTCTGCAGATACTCCATCTCCTAGACCTTTCCCTTTAAGAGCTTCATAGAGGTCTCAGGTTGTTAAAAACAGACAATTTAATGGAAAATCCATTTAATAGAAAAGTCCATAACCCCAAAATTTGCAGGATATAAATCAGCTTTGTCTTAATGCTAGAATACATTTCTTTGGGTTAATTTGACTATGACTCCCTTTGCACACATATGCAGCCACACACCCCATACATCCATGGTTATATATAACCTCCCTCATAGGAAAACAGTGCCATTTCACAGCCCCCAGCTCACAAGAAAGTCAAGGACCCTAATGCTCCACGAAGGTATAGCAGAGAGGTGGTAAAGCTGTTTTGGAGGTTGGATATGTTGATATGGTTTCTGGGGAAGCCACAGAAAAGAGTGAAAAATACTTGAGAAGTCTCACAAAGAAGAAAGTCAGAAGGAACGACTGGTGCCTTTATAAGACAGCCTCAGTACTTGCAGGAAGACAGTTTAAAAGCAGAAGTTATTAATGAGAAGTAAGACATATGAAGTGGGAAAATAGCCTTATGGTTCCTTTGACCAAGCCCCATCTGATGAATAAACTGGATAACGCCATAAAGAAAATACGGAACAAAGTAGCACTGCCTTTCAAAAATGGAAGAGCAGCCACAGGACAAATATGTCCCTGAATTTACCATAAGGTGCACAGAGAAGGCAAAAGATGGGGAGCTCCCTGGCAGATTACCATGCATTGCTTGCCATTTCCCCACTTCTCCAGGTTTCTGTTTCTCTCTGTGGTCAGTGCAAGTAGCATTTCCTGAAGGATGCACAACAGGAGTGTTGTGGCAAGGAAGTCTGCTAAACAAACGGGTGAAACACACAGAGAAACACAGACAGGACGAAGACTTTGCTCTGTTCACCCGAGGCATTTCAGTTTTCCTTCCAGAGACGGAGATTCTCCCGTAATTCCCTTAAGCAGGGAGAGTCAAGACTTGGATTCTTTTGTTAATTTCTAGCCAGTGACCACACCACCACCAGTTATTATAATCCTGTTGTCAAACTGGCTGCATTTGCAAAACAAAGGCAGCAGCTGATACAGCCATCTTTTGCTAATCAAACTGTGCTTAGAGGAGGACCAAGGGAAGCCAACATCTACTTTACCCTCCCAGTAAGCAGCAGTTAACTGGCCAGCAGAAAAAAAAGATCTTGAATGCCTGCAACTCA